AATGTAATTATCAGTTGCTTGACTTTCCATACTAACTAATAAAAAATTATACAAGAAAAAATTGAAAAAAACACAATTAACAACCATAAATAAACTCTAAATTGTTCAACTAATAAAATTTAATAAAAAAAAATTATTAATTTGTTTAAAAAAAATAAAAGAAATTGATTTATCCAATATAAAAAAAAAAAAATTTCGGTTCTTATTCGATTTTTTGGTTCTTAGTCTAGAACGAGAACCGAACCAAACCATTCGATTACCGATTCGGATATCCTTTCGGGTATTTTAATTTAAGAAAAATCGCTCGATTCAATTAGATTTCGGTTCGAACATTTTGCCCAACCCTAATTCTATCAATCATTGCTCAAGCTTTACATTGTTTCACCGCGATCAATAGCTCAACTACACTATCACTACACATGATATAGAAGTAAGGCAACAACACAGAGAAAAATGTTGCAGAAACAAAAGATTATGAAACAATGTTGAGAATTGGACTCGGACTCGGACTTGGACTTCTTGTTTTAATTTTTGAATGTGGTTGGACTTGAACTAATGAGAACATATTAAGCCAACATGGCTATGCCATTATCATGGGACTGAAACATTAATGATATAGTCCAATGGTTAATTATATATTGGAAAAATAGGGCTTTCATAGCTCAAAAAGATAATTAACTGCACCGAGGATGATTTCTCCGGTAATTTTCATAAATAAACCAAAAAATGAAATATTTTAAAAGTAATGTTCAATGTTTTTCATTAAAATAAAATGTGTTACAAATTGTCGGCCCTTGCATCACTGCCATCCACCCAGGGACGGACCTAGTGTTGAAGTTCAACACGAGCGAACGTTGACCTGTCAACGTCGAATTCTAATGACCAGGTTGTGCAATGACCACAACTGTGCAGCAAAGCACCTGCACAGCCTGGTCAATAGCTTTACCCGTCATAACAAGACACCTCTAGCGCAATTTAGACTTATCTAACAGCGCAGTTTAGACTAATCTAACAGCCAAAATGCCAATTTTAAAGATGCTAAGTGCGAGACCCTTGGGCTAAGCAAAAAAGACCTATCTATCGAGACTTTTCCAGTAGCCAAATATCTACACTATCAGATTAAGATTCCCATCCACCACACCGCATGTTAACCCGCGCCTACATTTGATAATAAGAACTAAGAAGCTACTGCTAATACGTGTAAGCGTACCTTTCTATAGGTGGTTCCGTCTTCTTCAATGATCCAACCAGTTTCCTGCTTCCATCATCTTATTTCTCATAAACAAACCAATGTTCCATAATTAATTCTTTTTCTTCCAACTACAAAAAGCACAACTGATCATCATAACATTTAGAGAATCCCTTTTGTTGTGACCAACAAAGTGTTACCATTTATATTGAAATCCATCACCTAAATTTCAGTTCTTTAAAACATCCAGGAACCAACAAATACAATAACACAATATAGCATATAATCACTAGTGTTCCATAATTAATTCTTTTTCTTCCAACTCATATGTCTAACGGGAAGGTGTTGACTTAATGAAAAGGTTTGTTACACTTCAGAAATCAAAAAAGAAAAACTTTATTTATTAAATTCTTAACAGAAAAGGCAAAACACAGAATGTGAGAGTAACTCAGCGGAGATAACCCGGGATCTTAATCCGAACAGTGGGCATCTAAATAAAAAAGCTGGTTTGTAAGTGTTATGCCCTAGGTTCAATCAACTTTGGACATAAACACTTTAAATATATATAATTGATGCATGTATGACAATATCTATTATTTAATTGAATTAATATTCTAATAAATTAAATAATAGAATCTGTAGATTCAAGTTTTGGTAATTTGTTAATCACAAGGAGTTGTGATTGTGAGATAAAAATTATAAATGATCGAATCTTAAATCGTCCATGGTCGAAGTAATAACGAGATACGGATATCGTTATTACGGATAGATCATCTCGTGTGGCATTCTTACTTGTGAAGTAAGTAGCTGATCTCACAAGTTAAAGTGTGGTGACACTTGAATGAACACGTAGATGTTTTGTTATAGAGCAAAACATTGGAGACCCGATGAGAGATTCCATACGGATAACTATCTGAGTGTTAGTGATTAATCTCTAACATTCGGTAGTGGAATTGGTCATTTGACTTGAGGTCATCATAGTTTGGTGATGTTAGATGTTGCTCTGCCAAGAGTCGCAAATACGACATCGTTCGGGTATGTCAAGAATCATTTGAAGG